GCTCCTTAATTATAGAATTCTTTGACCTCAAAACTGATACAGTTTCATTATCTATATACCATACATCTATTCATACCATAACATATCCTACAGAAAGATAAGATGCCTATTCTTTTCCTAATAGATTGTAATATATGATACTGCCTAGCAAATTTTTTCCCTGGGCAAAGAGTTGCTAATAAAAGGACACATAGCTTCTCTGTAAATATTTTTTATATCTGGTGTCTATCTGTGGAACATTTCCTGTGGCTTCTATATCTTGGAAAGAAGAAGAAAGTGTTACCAAATTATCACTATCTATTACTATTTATCATTTACTGATTTGTCCTCAGTGAGAATAATTAGATTTGATGGAGTCAATGTTTTTTCTGTTCTCACTCAAATCATAGGGTTATCCAGGTCCTCCTGGGATTCCAGGACCCACTGGTCCACCGGGATTACCTGTAAGTACTGAAAAGACTTTATGTTCCCTTGTAGAATGTCTGTTTAAATTTAAATCCATGACTTTGATTATGCTCTATATTTTTGTTCTTATGCAAAGTAAGTAACATGTAAACTGAAGGAGGATTCTTTTTTTCTAAATCAATGCAAGATATTCTAGAATATGTCATAGTGTCTTGAACTTCCTCTCCTCTACTTGCTAATTATTTACTACTCAATTCTAATAGTACCATTCTGCAGCCTAAACCTAAAAAACACTTAACTTTCTTTTGAATTACCACATGTAAGAAAACATAGTAATGAACCTTGGAAGTGAAACCAATTGTGTAAACAAATCACAAGCATAATAAGTTCTGACATATTTTTCTTAGAAATTTGTAAATATCCTCAACCAGATAAATTTCATAGAAAATATACCTCTATTAATCAGAATTTGTGCTTTGAAAATAGTCCCTTTGTTGTTTACAGAAAGATAATGAAATCTTGTCTCTAAAAAGGGAAAGTTCATTTATCAGAATTTGACAATTATTGTAATTTTACATATGAAAAAAAATCAGCGTTCATGATCCCTTAAGCAGAACTATCAACAAATATGATTTATACTGTTTTGTGTAGCTTCTTTTTGTAGGTAAGCTTGATATTCCAGTAGATTGATAAACATGTTGCTAACTTCTAAAATTAGCAGACTGATCTAGGGCACAGTTGCCCATCTTTTTACTTATGTAAGATAATAAATAAACTTGAGATCCTGTAAAAGTTCACTGTTTTTATCTACCTAGTGTTAAATAGATAAATAAAGTACATTTTCTAGTGAAGTCTTTATTGAAGATTTTCAGGTATAAAAATAATTCATTGTAATTGGCTTAGTAATGATTTAATCTTCATTGTAGGTTATTTTTTTGGCATTTTAATTTGGAACATTTTTCATGGTAACAGGAAAAAAGCTGTATTTATGTGATGGGATTATCATAAATGTCTAGAATCATGAGAAAGAAATCTTATAGCCATAGCCATTGCTTCTTTCATGGACCAAGCAGGTCAGTTAGACTGATCAGACCAGCTATGTGGGTATCTCTCTACCTTCATTCCCTATTTGTTCCCCTGAAAACTATTTGCTTAGCAAATAATAAATCATCCCATTCTTTTTCAGGATGAAACACTTAGAAATGAAATCACTCCAAGTAGTAAAATATGTGTAAAGCAAACTATTGGGGGAGAGGACTATGGTATTTAATAATTAAAACATATTTTTTAAGGCTAATCAGTTTTATTTTGAGAATTTTGAAGGAAAATTACATGTTATAAGAAAGGTGAACTACTATTCTGATAACATTCCTGTGAATTCTCTAACTAATTTTTAAATTTTCAACATGTAGGGTCCTGCAGGGGCAAGAGGACCACCTGGGGGTCAAGGTACTAAAGGACAAAGAGTAAGTTATCTGATGAAGGATGTACATTAACCTAAAAAAAATGACTTCATGGATGGTGATGTGTTCAGCAAAAATACCTTTATATCATTTAGATTGTGCTTACACACATTGGGTTTTTCCTTTGTTTTCATTATATTAGATGAACTACCTACACTAATGAATATGACTCATCTAAA